GAATCTGATAAATGATAATAAAATAGATTTATTATTACTAGACTTCCAAGTTAGAGGCTCATCTAAAAATTCGAGTAAGATAAAGAAGAAGCTCCAAAGATCATCTCTTCTTGATAATTCCTCTTTATTGTGAGCATTAATGCTTGCATATGCTATAGTTCCCCTGAAATCTGCACATCTTCTGGGTTCAAAAGGCCTTCCAGTCTGAGGATTAATATGATCTTTAGCTAGTCCGAAATCAACCAAATATACTTTATTCCTCTCGTCTTTACTCCCAATTACAAAATTAGACTATCAATGATGAACACAATGATTAATTTTACTTACTGGTTTTATATCTCGATGAATAAATCCTGCTTGATGAACCTACTGAATTCCCTCAAGCATTTAAACTAGTAAATCTGCAGCCAGAGAATCATTAAAGCTTCTCTGATTTTTTTTATAAAGTCCAAGATTTTATCCTTTAAGAGCCATTACAATAAAGTTTTATTGGTCTTGCGATTCAAACTCAACAAAATTATAGACTTAAACGATTCTCGATTGTCCTATAAAAATACAAATTTGGAGTCTAAATTAATACCTTGTAGTTTTTTAAGATATTAATATTCTGTCTAAAGTATTCTCTTTGCTTTATCCTCCTTCTCCATCTTCAAAGCTACTTCTAAATTCATGTCTCTATCATATGCTTTAAATATTCTGCTAAATGAACCTTATCCAAGTTCTGAAATGATTCTATATCTTTCACCTACAATGATTAAGTTGGAGGATACGTAAGCATACTAAAAGAGTACTGAGAGCATTCAGTTTGAGTTGTCATCACAGATGAATTTTCATTTGCAATACTAGGCTAAATTGTTGCTTGAATAGTTGGCTAAGGAGGTTGAAATTAAATTGGCAGGGACTACTAGATCTATTGTATCTAACTTTGTTGATGCTATTATTGTTACTGCTATTGATTTAGTATAGTTTGATGTTAAGGTTAAGATAACAAGCTTGCAGTAATTTATGGCGCTTAATTTTGTGGTTAATAGTGAAACATACCAGAGTTCATGAATTGTGTATACTCATCTTCCTTCTAAGCTGAGCTCCATGGTCCATTGATTACACTAGGATTAGTCATCATTTAATGCTTTTGCTGCTAATGTTTATGCTGATGTTAAGATATCATATTCATTTGACTTGAAGCTTTGGAGAACAAAACTTGTTTGTGCATGAGGTTACAACACTAGATGAAGTCTAAAATGCTTTCTGAAATTAAAATGATTCGAAATTAAGCTTCAGGCTTAAGAGATATAGTGATCCCACACTTCTTAGGCGTTGTAAATTTAAGTTGATGATTATTAAACTACAATGTGCTAAAATGCTAGCTATGATTCGAAGCTTTTAATGAATTAATACTTAACGTTAATCAAAATAATTAAGCCTTAATAAAGACTACTAAAAATCAAAATCAAACTTATGCTCATTATTTACAACTCAAAGTGCACAGCGGAAATGCAAATACACTATTACTTAAATCTAAAAGCTGATCAATAATTATGATGACAACTCATTTATTATTTTCATTGGGCATCCTCAATTTAATGAATATCTTTCTGGAATGAATAGCCATTAATCTTCTTGATTTTATCTCTCTTGCTTGAATGAGAAGAAGTTGATGTGATTTTTTTCTTGAGTATCAGTTAAGCCTGAGGAGCAAGTAAAGTATCGATCATCACATCTGCCTCCTTCTTGCTCTCATTAAATCTTCTTGACTAATCCATTGATAAAAACTCCTGCTTCATTTTCTATCTTGAGACTTCTTGATCTCTATGACCCTAATTAGCTTAGTAAAGTTTATCCTTCAATGCTGAAATTCTGTTATCTTTGGGTTAAGAATCTCTAGTATTAATAAATTCTTGGCTTGGACTTGTACCAATTCCTGCATTCGTGGTGATATTTGCATGAGATCTGTTTTTGGCCAACTAATTTCTTCTTATCTTGTACTCAGTAGATCCTCTGGTCAGGCTCTATCTTTACTTTGACTCACCATCATCTGATAAAGGGAAAGATTATCTATCATTGGACATAGCCTTGTGACTTTTGAAATTAGACTCAAGTATTTGACTCTTCTTAATCTATTAGTTGTACTTGATGTTTGGTTTAGCATCAAGTAGTAAATCACAAGGTATCAATCTGTGATTAATCTCTTGCTTGCTTCCAGATTAGTTTATAATATTCTAGCTTCTCTCTAAAGATTTGGCCTTTTTTACTTAACTCTGCTGTTGTTAAACAGAACTTAAATCAAGATCCTATATGCAGGCTTTCACGATTTTTGGAACTTTTATATCACTTTTCTGCAATGCACTGCGAGGGGTTAATGGCAAGTATGCCTATCTTATGCCTAGTAAAGTGTTAACAGTCAGTTAATTGCTATTTCGAGCCTAGAATGGCTGTTTATTTAGCTGTGATGTTTGCAATTTGGAATCATTTCTAGATTGGAATATATCAGGATTTTCTCTTATATTAATATTACTAGCATTTTGAGATTAAGTAGATTACTACAGTTGTTGAGATTTTTCGGCAGAATCTAATTTTTTGCAAAAATTTATGGATTCTTTCGGAAGTACTAGTTTTTTTCTCAATTAAGCACTTATAGTTCCTCTCCGTTGAATCTATTCATCAAAGACCTAATGATTATTTTATCTAGCTTCTTGAACAATGATTGAAAAATTGGAATCTGAGTTGAGAAACTCTTTCTGTATCCCACTACTGTTGATATAATTCCCAAATAATTTCTCTTGAGAATGGCATCTGTTCTTTTTCAAAGGTGAATTTTGAGGAGTTTACTGAATTTGTTCAAACTTGTCTCTATTTTTACTTTTCTATAGCTCCTCTGGTGTGATATCAAGAGCATAGTCAAAAGGATTCAAGGAGAGTCTTAGACTAGACCTTCTTACAGTACCATCAGTATTGACATTATGTGCTATTGTTTCTAATGACAAAATAAACTCATCTATATTAGTTTCTAAAGTCTTTCTATTCTCTTCAGGCTATATTTTTCTTTCAGGAGTCTTAATCATTCTGTATGCTTCCTAGTCCTTAATTACTCGGTTTGTGCTGAATTATCTTGAATCATCAGGAAAGTTTCTCTGTATTTCTAGCATTTCTAAGTAAATTGATGGTTATCTCTGTTAACTTAGTTTAATACTCTCAAATTTATTATGCTAAACCATTTGATAATTTCCGATTTTAATTTAACTTCCACATTTGAAATAAAATAAAATTTCAACTAGCGGGGTTTTGGGGTTTTGGGGTTTTGGGGGAGGGG